CCCCTCCCTAAAAAAAAAAAAAAAAAAAAAAAAAAAAAAAAAAAAAAAAGCTTCATGGACAGCATCACATTGAATCCTCCCAACACTCTGCAAAGATGGTAAGATCCCCCCAATTCTGCAGTCAAGGGCTGGGAGGATCAGAGGAATGAAATGACTTGCCTGGGCCCCTCAGACACTGGCGAGGGGTGGGAGAGCAATGGTTTCAAACCCAGGTCCTTGCTTTTTCTGCTGCATGGTTAGTGCCTTCAAGTCATTATTTATGCCTGGAGTATGGGCTCTGGAGGCAGGCTGCCTGGGGAGATGCCAGACTCTGCCTCTTACTCACCCTGACCTGGCAAATCTCATACCTCCCTGCACCCCCAGTTCCTTATCTGTAGGATGGTCTGTAGGATGGGCTTGAGGATGCGAGGAGACCATGCTGGGATCTCAACCTTGGCTGCACATTGTGATCACCTGTGGAGCTTGAACCACTTGCGTGGTTCTAGATTTGGAGTGGGTCACCTTGTGGGATTGACTTGGGATGGGTGGGGAACAGGAAGTCATCCCTTAGATATTTTTTGCACTGATATATGGGAGCCTGCTTATGAATTCACTGGAACTAGACATAGAGAAGCCAAACAATGGTTGAACGAATTTTTGAAAAATGCACAGAGCTTTATTATTTTCATTAATTCAGCAGAAAGTGCATTGCACTGAAATCATCCCCTGGCTCACTCAGCTCAAAGAGTGGCCATTACTGCTCAGATATACTAGCTTTGTGGGCTGTGGAAACAATGCATTCAACAACCTCTGAAAATCACACCTAAGGCAATGAATGGAAAGCAACTTCCAAAACTCAAAAACAAAAATTACAAAATCTGTTTAAACAATCCCCTGCACACTCATAGAAGTGTTCATCTTGCAGAGAACTTGGAGAGCTTTACAGCATCCTGGAGGGCTTGGATATGACACTTAATAGACTCTGCTCTCTTTTTACCTCATTAGCATGAATCACCCTGCACCATGGTGATGAAGAACTTGCACCAAGAGCTCCAGGACTCCCCACAGTATTCCAGGGCTACCTTCTTCTGGTTCGCCATGTCTTGGCCCTCTATACACTCAAGATCATTCAAGTCCATGGTCTTGGACTCTTCTGGGCCAGAGAGGGTGTTCTCTTTGACCTTGTTAGGCTCCATGATGGAGGCCTCATTGACCGAGCTCTGCTCCCTGGGAGAGGGCTCCATTGACTCCTGGCTGGGTTTCTTCTTAATGAGAGTAGAGTTTACCAGCTTCAGATTGGATTCTGGAAACTTTTTCCTGCACACTCTGGTCTTCAGGATGCTCTTGGAGTCCCTACACAGGGCCTTCTGAGAGCGCAGGCTCCGGCCAATTTGTTTCCAATAGACGCCCTTTTTGCTCGACTCCAGGCATGCGGTTGGGTTGCCAGTAAAGGAACAGGAAAACTTGTCATCCTGTCGTGTGCAATCGACCTTCAGAACAATGTCCTCCTCCTTCTGGGTGACCACCCATCTGCAGTCGGCTTGGTCTTGGGTGACAAACTTGCCTTTGGTCAGGTGCTTGGGTGGCTGGCTTCTCTGCTCAGTCTGGGGTTTGCCTGGAGTATACGTTTTATCTGTGGTGGCTCTGTGGACACCTCTATTCTTTGCTTCCTTTTTGCCTTCCACCAAGAGCACCTGAGTGGCCAGGAGGAGGAAGGCCAGCAGGATGAGGCTGTGGATCCTCATGTCTTCAGTTTGGTAGGAACCTGTTTGACAAAAGGCAGGTGAGTCAATGCCAAGCAGCATTCCAGCAGTGCAGGGCTGCAAGCTGATCCCCGGCCACCCCACCACATGCTACCCGCTTAAGAGTGCGTTCAAGAATCCTCTGGTTCCTGGAATTACTAGACAAGCAGCCCATCTATTCACATTTCTGCTTGACTGGTGTCTTGAATGTCAAAAACGTCCTACCCTTCCTTCCTTCACCACTCTCTGAACCTCGTTAACTCTCACTCCCTCATTCAGTCACTCATTTGCTCACTCAGGCCTTTATTCACTCATTCAACAAGCATTTGTGGAGAACCCACTATATGCCATGCTCTAGACTAGATGTTGAATGCATCAAGGTAGATAAGAAAGTCTCGCATCTTAAAAACTTAGAGGCAAATCATTGGGGATTCTCAATAGCATTGACCAGGATTCTGTCCCAGCTGTGTCCCCAGCTTGATCTTGGGCAGCTCACTCTCCCCCTCTGGGTCTCAGTTGTTTTATCTGGAAATCAAGGCATTGGATGCCATAACTGCCCACTCTTCTCTAGCTCCGGTGTGCTGGATTTCTACCTCACAGTTCTACATGGACTCAGATGATCACACTATGAGAAAGGACATGGTAAATGCCATAAAAGAGATGTTTGATCTAAGGTTAAACACGCATGAGATTTGTACACTCTGAGATGGGTGGGTTTGTGAGGAAGGGCATTTGGGATGAAGTAAGAGCACAAGGAAAGGCATGAAGGAGGGGAGATAATCCCATTTGACTGGGCCAAAGGAACCAGGGTGGGTAGGGGTGAATTTCCACCTGAGCATTTAGACTGTTTTGTAGCACAATGCTGGGCATGTAGAATGCCCTTTATCAATGCTTTCAAAAACAAATCATTGAATAAACAAGATGACCTTAACTGCTACACTAACCTACGTAGATTTTGTCAGGTGGGCAACAAAACCACACTTAAAAGGAGACGAGAAATAGCATTTCTACACACCTGACCAGTGTCTGATTCTCACCTTGTTAATCCACACAGGAGCCCTCCCAGGCAGGTAATAATAAACCTCTCCAGGTAACAGATGTGACAGTTAAGGCTCAGACTGGCAAATAAATTGCTCAAGATCCCATGAAGGGCAAGTGGCAAAGCTGGGACAGGCAGGCAGAACTTGTCTCTCTGGTCCTTTATACCACTCTTCTTGCCTTCACCTTGCTCTGCCCTTCAAAAATATTGGCAAGAAATAAGAAAGCAATCACGAACAACTCAGCATTGGGTTTGGCTTAATTCGCGATGACAAGATGATTCATATCATCAGTGCTCCACTTTAAAAGAAAATACTGATTTTTTTCAAAAAGAGGCTGGCCTGGGAAATGGCTCCGATCTCATTTCCACCCTCAGGATTTGACCTGCTATTGGAATTGAGACAGTGATGGCACATGGGCTCCCAAATGAAGGCGGGTGGGAGGCCAGGTATACCAGATGACCCACTCATTCCTCACGGCATGGGGACTCAGCCCCCGCATGTCTCCATGGGATCCAGACCCCAGGAGCCTGAGGTCCTCGGGGAAGCTGGAAGTGGGGCAGGCAATCACAAGCTTAAGAGAGCCAGGCTCTTACCTTGTTCTGCGTATGCAGGTGCAGGGCAATCCCAGATGCCAGAGCGAGCTTGCAGGCTTACAGCCGTCTCATCTGCAGTGCGAGGCAGGGAAGGCCCCTTTTATAGGAGCCCAGGCAGACAGGGCCTTCAGGAGGCGCACACCTGAGAACCTCTATTCACACTGCTCCCGGCCCCGCCCCTTCGGAGGGAGCCAGCTCCTGCAGGGAAAGTGGCTGGTGTAATCCCATGGGCTTGGGCGGCGGGTTACACTCAGGACACTAGACTGTGTCCTCCAAGCCCTTCCCTCTCCCCCAGTGGCCAGTCTGGGAGCACAGCTCAGACTTGCAAAGACCCTCCTTGATGGGACAGGGACCCCAGCAGCAATATCTCTGGGGAAAGTTATAAACAACAAAAATAATCATAGCTGCCAAATACTATGCTAGGTCCATTTTGCCCAAAGCTCTCTGTTTGTTCTGGTCACATCCACTCTATGATACTGGAAGATGTGATGCACCCATTTTACAGATGGAAAACTGAAGCATGGAGATATTCAGGGGTTGCCCAAGGTCACACAGCTAAGAGCATGAGGGGCTCAGAGTTGAAACCTGGGACTCCCACATCCATTGGCTGATCTTTTCCTACCAGCCACTCTCAGTAAATCTTTGGTGAGTAAGTGGGTGAGCTGGGGGAAGCCATCTCAGTTTCTGAGGTCCTCTTTTGCTGAGGCGCCTGAAGTTAATGTGTGGGCAGAGGAGCCCCTGGGCTCCCAACAGCTGGTGGACAGCGAGTTCCTCACCTGGACTCTCTGCTGAAAATACTGACCTTCAGGTCACATGTGGGAACTTCATTCTGGTCAACTTTGGTAGGCAGCCCCCTCCCAGAAGTACATAGGTGAAGCCCCGGACACAGCATTCACCCAGCCCCTGTCACAGTTGTCACGCAACCTCTCTGAACCTCTCTTTGTTCATCTACAGTTTGCAGACAATAACAGTACCTCCTTTAGGGTTTCCTACTAAATTACTTATGGGGCTGAGCTACTAACATAAAGTGAAGGGGGGCAGATTTGGTTCATAATGGGAAGTTGAGTTGTATTCTTTAAAAACAGACATAATTTGTTTTCATGTTAAACAAAGAGGAGACTCAGTTCCTCAAAGAAGATGTGGACTTCTCTATATTTTGTCACCTCCCTTTTCATATCTGGGCACAAGAGATTGTACTTTTCTTCATAACTCAGCCATAAAGAAAGCACTACTACATGAATGGTAATAAATGAAAACCAACCTTGCCTTTGGGACCGAGAAAGTAAAGGAGCAGGGGGGACTGGGGCAACCTGGGGGGGAATGGGGCAATCTGGGCAGGGTCTGGCATCTCAGGGTCAGCACTCAGCCCACCTGATTGAGAACATGTGGCATTGGGGCCGGTATTTTCAGACATCATGATATTTTTTTTTGTACATACTTTTTTTTTTTTTTTAATAACATTTGAGACTTCTTGAACTTTTAAGAAATGCCCCAACATCCAGATGTGTGTATGTGGAACTGGGTTGGCATCTAATTAAAATTTTCTAAAAGTGCTGTCCTGGCCCCCAATAAAGACACTAAAAGCCCTAACTGAGGCTGGATTCCGCTCAAGACCCACCTGTTGAGAATTCCAAGGTCACAGAGCTTTGGATGTCGACTGGTTTACTCAGTGGTTCAAAGAGTCTTTTGGTAAATGCCATTGGAGGTGGCCATTCCCCCAAGCTCCAAGCCTCTTATAAAACTGGCTCGTGAAGAGATCCATCCTCATCGTCCTGACCGCCACCTTATAGGCCCGTGACCTCCCCAGATAGGCACTGACAGCGTGGAGTTTTAGGAAGTTATTATATGCAGGCAAGGTAAGGCAGCTTTGTCCCGCGGGGAGATAGAGATCAGGGTGGCCTCTGAAATAATGAGAAATTCAGCCTGATCGTCAGGACACAGCCAGGTTTTGTTTTTTCTGGAGGAAGATGGCAGGTCAGAACCAAAGCTTATTTAGAGGAAACACATGGACTCCGGGGCCTTTTCCAAGAACTGTTTATCTATCTAAGCTTCAGCAGGGAACCCAGAACTTCCCCCACTGGCTTCCCACCTTCAGCTTTCCTGTGATCCCATCCCAACCTCGGCCTTGATCTTTCTATTTCAAGCAAGGGCACACAATTTTAGACCAGGCTATGCAGACCTTTCCCTATTGTCTCAGCCTGTTATTCCAAACTCATTTGCACACACACACACACACACACACACACACACACACGCTCCAATCTGCCCCGCCCAGAGCTGGTTAATTCAGCATGGTAGTAAATAACTTTACGCCTCTCAAATGCAATTTAAGCACCTCTTTTATTGAACTCTCACACATCAAACCAATATTCCCCCTGCCCAGGGCCAGGTACCAGACAGCTAGGGATGCCCCTATGCCCCAAAGCCCAGTGCAATTATTCAGACCTGTCAATCCCAAACTGTTCACTCTGTCTTTCCTCACCTCTCCCTTGGAAACCCCAATAAGGGCCGTGGCCTCAGCTCACCCCTCCCTTGTGATTCTGCCTCCTCCTCACCAAACTAGATGCTTCCCTCGTGGCCCCGCATGGCATGGCATGCCCCCTTCTCTTGGGAAACGTAAGTGATAAGGTTTTCTTTCCACGGCATTCGCCTCTCCTATAGTCCCTCAGTCACCTCCATGAATTAAAATCTCAAAGGTACATTTTTGAGACAGTGATCCTACACAACCCTCGCCTCCTGGAAGTCAAAATATCATAAGATACAGAATATTAAAACATGATCAATCTGTCCTCTGATGTTTTCGCATCTTATAAAGAGTAGCTGGTGTGATCATGGAGACTTTTAGGGAACAGGGCATAAGTTGCCCCAAACAGCAAAGAAAACATTTTATTACACAAGTAGCACTGAGGAACACAAGTAGAGATGTATGGAGTCCTTATAGGCCAGGGCATAAATAGATTTTCTATTTGTAAGGCATAATCCAAGAAAATAGAGCTGGGATTTTGGGAGGTCTCTACTATTAAAAGTATAAGTTTGACAATAGTGTTTTGGTGTATTTCTTGGGTCAAGGTGGCAGGTATGGCAGTTTTGTTATTAACTTATGAACTGATAAGTTAATAAAGTATATGTAAAGATTGGTGGTATGTGTGTAATTAAGGGGAAGAGCTGCCTGTGGTGGTAAAGATCAGAGATGCAAGGCAGGAGGTGGCGGTGGCTGCAGGAGGTGGCGGTGGCTGCAGGAGGTGGTGGTGGCTGCAGGAGGTGGTGGCTGCAGGAGGTGGTGGTGGCTGCAGGAGGTGGTGGTGGCTGCAGGAGGTGGTGGCTGCAGGAGGTGGTGGTGGCTGCAGGAGGTGGTGGTGGCTGCAGGAGGTGGTGGCTGCAGGAGGTGGTGGTGGCTGCAGGAGGTGGTGGTGGCTGCAGGAGGTGGTGGCTGCAGGAGGTGGTGGTGGCTGCAGGAGGTGGTGGTGGCTGCAGGAGGTGGTGGCTGCAGGAGGTGGTGGTGGCTGCAGGAGGTGGTGGTGGCTGCAGGAGGTGGTGGCTGCAGGAGGTGGTGGTGGCTGCAGGAGGTGGTGGTGGCTGCAGGAGGTGGTGGCTGCAGGAGGTGGTGGTGGCTGCAGGAGGTGGTGGTGGCTGCAGGAGGTGGTGGCTGCAGGAGGTGGTGGTGGCTGCAGGAGGTGGTGGTGGCTGCAGGAGGTGGTGGCTGCAGGAGGTGGTGGTGGCTGCAGGAGGTGGTGGTGGCTGCAGGAGGTGGTGGCTGCTGGAGGTGGTGGTGGCTGCAGGAGGTGGTGGCTGCAGGAGGTGGTGGTGGCTGCAGGAGGTGGTGGCTGCGGGAGGTGGTGGCTGCGGGAGGTGGCGGTGGCTGCAGGAGGTGGTGGCTGCAGGAGGTGGTGGCTGCTGGAGGTGGTGGCTGCTGGAGGTGGTGGTGGCTGCAGGAGGTGGTGGCTGCAGGAGGTGGTGGTGGCTGCAGGAGGTGGTGGCTGCGGGAGGTGGTGGCTGCGGGAGGTGGCGGTGGCTGCAGGAGGTGGTGGCTGCAGGAGGTGGTGGCTGCTGGAGGTGGCGGTGGCTGCAGGTGGCGGTGGCTGCAGGAGGTGGTGGCTGCAGGTGGCGGTGGCTGCTGGAGGTGGGTAGGAGGGGAAGACACTGAGGAGTGGGAGCTCTCTGCCCCGGGGGCCGAGGGAGTTGACTGATGTGAGGCAGGGTGCCCTGGGCTAGCAATAATCTTCGTTGATTTCTAGGGTGGCACAGCAGCAGTAACTTCTACCAGGTTTCCTTTAGCCATCGGAGGGGGGTGTACATTTTGGAAGAGAGCAAAGAGTAGACCGGGATCATGGGCCAAGCAGACAGTGAGCTCCGAAACCCACTAGGAGTCCTAATTTCAAAGGAAGAAAAGCCAAAATATGTCCTGGGTCCAGTTCGTGCCTTAGGAGAGGCAGTCCATGGGCACTGCGAGGGCAAAGATTTGAAATCAGGGTGAAGCTGTCTCTAGCGCAGGGCTTGGGGTCTAAGGCGAGGTCTTGGGCAGCTGCCATCTGAGGTGATACAGTCTCCACGGTGAGCTCCTGGGCCAGGTGGTGTCGTCCGGGCCGTGGGACCAGAGTATCCTTTCCAAGAGGGCCCCACTCGAACTGATGTGGGTCTAAGCATTTGCCTTAACTGAAACTGGCTTATTTGGAGGGTTCAGGCCTCTGGATTGTACCCCAGAGAAAGCACTTAAACCAGGAGTAATAAGACCCATGGTCTACTGAATGGTGTCCAGCTGCTCCTGATTAGTTTTTATTTTTGATGGAAGGGTAGGCTTTGAATCAGTCCCAAGTCACATGAGCAGCTAGCTTGCCTGGCTCTGAGACAAGGTACAGCTAATGGGTTTCAGAAGATTCTGTGCCTTTCAATCTGCCCTCTAAACAATATTGGGTGGCAACAAGATAGAAAGTTTATAAAAACAGGTTAAGGCCTGGGGCAAAATAGAAATCTATATAGAGGTTTATTTGCCAAGCTAGAATATTAAAACAAGCTGTTGAGGAGACCATTGTGTCTCTCAGTGACACCAGTTCTCTGGGAACTCTCAGGGCCATGACAGCTCCATTGAAAACTTCCCTGCGCCCCGTGGAAGCCCCTGCCTGCAGCATAATCAGTCCCTCTCCCCTCCTCCTTAAACAAAATCTTTTCAAATCCATATTTCCAGGAGGCTAACCTCCCCCCCTCCCCCTCCCGTCTCCTGTGTGCACCAATTTTTTTTCTTTGTGTATCTTCCACATTAGCTCCTGGTGATCCAGAGTGGCCTTTGACATGAGTCGCCGCCTCCTTTTCTGGGGTGTCCCAATCAACCTCAGAGGGGCTGGGGTCTACCTCCATGAGAGCAATATAGGCAGCTCCTGACTTTCCAACAATTTTGTTCTAAGAGGAGGATGTTAGCATGTTGATAAGCAGGGGTACTCAGGAGGCCCAAGCACACTGGCCAGAGATTTCCAACCACTCATAAGCTCAGGGGTTTCAGGGGTTTCAGGAGCCAAATGTTATCCCTTCCTTTCTTTATTCATTAAGCATTGGGCCACCAGTCTTTAGGGATGTGATCCCTCATGCCACACTGAGTCCTGGGACGAGTCATGGGATCATCAAGGCAAGCAGCAGCAAAGAGATTTGTCCTTGAAGCAACCTTAACATCTGGGAAGTCACAGCTTTCCAAAAGGAGGGCACCTTACACCTAGCTTCTGACCAGGAAGGTGGGCCTGCCTGGATTTGAAATCAACTGGGTGTCTCCAGAGGGTGGTAATTGCCAGGGGACCGATAGTCAATGTCAGCCTCCAATGGACTGGTGAAGGGGACCCTCACTTGCCAGAGATGGTTGGTCCACCAGAGTAAGAGAAGGGAGCAGACCTGGGGCTCACTGCCCAGCGCCATGCCCAGCATGGTGGCTCCTGCTGGTGCTGCCAGACGAGATGACCCTCAAAGCACTCAGAGGGGAACCCTCCCTGCTACCCACTCCCTCCAGGAAGCCTCATGAGGCTGTGACCTCTCCTAGGGGCCTCTCATTGCCCCGAGAGCCAGGTTTGGTTTAATAACCTGTTCCTCCCTCTTCTTTGGACTTCAGATTACCTGAAAGCAGGAAAAAGCTCACTCACCTTTTCTCAGTAATCTATTTTCCTAATCTATTTTCCTAATCTAATAACTGCCATTCTCCATTAAGACCTGAAACTTCTGCCCGGCTGGGCGTGGCTCAGCGATTAAGCGTCGACCTGGGATCCAGGCGATCAGGGTTTGATTCCCGGTCAGGGCACATGCCCGGGTCGCGGGCTGCAGCCGATCAATGACTCTCTCATCACTGATGTTTCTATCTCTCTCTCTCCCTCTCCTTTACTCTCTCTGAAATCAATAAAGACATATTAAAAAATAAAAAATAAATAAATAAATAAATAAATAAATAAATAAATAAATAAATAAAACAATCCTCTGAGTGATTCAATGATTTAATGTCTTACACACTAACTTGCACTCCCCAACTTTTAGGACAGATTCTTCACAGTTGAGGGTTTTGCTCAGGGAGGTTCAGCACCTTGTCGTTGTCCCAGGTGTGTATGATTGGGAGACTTCTGTTCCCCATTTTCAGGGGCATTGTTGACTCCATATCGCCACCATGTGGCGATCTTATCCCGAAGACCTGATCAGAATACGAAGTGTTTTTCTTCCCCTTTGAATATTCCCATTTCTTTTCTACTCAATCGATCATGTTGCTGGTCTGATGGCTGGATAGACCGTGTTAGCAGCATTGTGGACTATCTACATAGCTAGACACGTGAGATGTGAGCATTAATGCAGCTGGTCCCCAGCGGTGCTGTGACAATGGCCGCCCACTTCTCTGCCTGCTCCTCTGTGATCAGAGCAGCAATCAGTGATCCGAACACAAATCTCTCATATGTGAACAAAGGGTCCTCACTGCCCATCCTGCCACTGCAAGTCTGTGTACAAGGTACTCTGGGAACACAAGGACCGGGGTGGGGCACGGTGGGGGGCTGCAGAGCTAAGAGCTGAACTTGACCAGTTAACGATTTTCCGCCCAAGCCTTCCCTTGGAATTTGCAACCCTTCAGTAGACACCAGAGCTCCAAAAAGGGTCACATCAGAGTTTCTGCCAGCGCTATTCCTGTTCAAGGGGCAGACAGTGATGCTTCCTTCTCTACCGTCCTCCCTGCCCTTTCCTCTTGGACCCGAATGGAGACTCTTCCCAGGACATCACATATACAGACTGACTAGCCTTTGCTTGAAGCCCCACTGACAAGGAGGTCCCTGCCTCACAGAGAATCCTGACCCGCTGTTTACTGGAAGCCTACAATGGTGTGGCACTGGCTCCACTCTGAGCCTGCCAGGGCCAGGCATCATGCTGATCATCACACCCACCGATGAGGTGGGGGCAACCCCCTCCCCATTCAGCAGAGGGGCTGAGGCTAAGGGAGCTCGTGTTCCTTCTCAAGGGGGAGCCACACTGGCACTGAGGTCCACACTTCCTCTAAAGCATGGTGGGGAACCAAAGGAGCTTAAGACGTGAGCTCTGCTCACAAGTGTTTGAGATCTTGCTGGGAGAGAGCAATGAAATAAATAAATGCTCATTTAGAAGAGAACTGAGAAGTGGTGGAAATCACCGATCGGACCCAGGGGGTGGTGGCGGCAGTTCGGGGAAGGCATGAGGGCCTACAGAAGGCCCTACGAGGGGAAGACAGGAGTGGAGACGGACATTTCAGACTGATGGTGGGCATCAGGGCTGGTGGTTAGCCCTGGAAAACTCCGCCACAAACACACTCTTGGCACCAGCTCTGCCTTCGCCCTTCCCTCTTGCACAGGTTACGTAGGCACAAGCTGCTTTGCCAACAACCTGTGGTTTGCAGTGGGGTACAGCTGCATTCCTTGAGCAAAAGCTATTTTCTAAATCGACTAAGACTTTTCCTTTACGTTGATTTGCAATATTGCTTGGCCAAGTTTACTGTGTTTTGGACTCACCTGGAAGGCTTGTTAAAGTACACATTCCTGGGCCTCACCCTTGGTGTGTCTGGGTTGGAGTCTGAGAGTTAGCATTTCTAGAGCTCCCCAGGCGATCCAGTTGCTTTGGGCCTTCAGGCCACACTCTGAGCAGTGCTGACTCACATTGCATTTCATCATCAGAAAACACTGGGCACCTGTCTGGTGGTTTTAGATTGAAATGTTAGGAAACGGTCTGTGCCAAGCCCACCCTGGCCTCTGCTGCCCACGTGCTGAGAACCAGGAGCTGTAGGACTGGGGGACCTGGACCCTGTCCGGCCTGAGCACGAAGGAGCTGCGTGACGTTGGATCACTCGCCTCTGTCAGCTTCAGGCCATTCGGTTTATATTAGGAGTAAAACTGCTGACCTCATAGGGATGTGGGAGGACTCTATGAGGGGCAAGTGATAGGCACGGAGCCTTCATAAGAAACAAATGTGAAGGCAGAGGCAGAAACTGGAGTGCTAAGTCTACAAGCCAAGGAACCCCACGGACAGCCGGCGGTCATCGGACTCGAGGGGACAGGCATGGGACAGACTCCCCCGCAGGCCCCCTCGGGGAAGCCAGCTCTGGTCACATGTTGATTTCAGACTCCCGGTCTCCGGAACGGTGAGAGAATAGAATCCTGTTGCTTAATCCATTCGGTTTGTGTACTTTGTCACAACCACCCTAAGAAAATAATACAGTGCCTTACGTGGTAACTATAGCATAGATATATTTTCCAAGAAGATCAGAGTCAGGTTTCGGGAATCATTCTTTTACTGTTCACACACACCTGCCATTTGCTGAACTTCCTCCGACTAAAAGTCTAACTTCCAGTGCAATGAAATGCGACACAATTTGTGTCTGGTTCCAAAGGCTAAACCGAAAATGAAGGAAGGGGCTACATATTTAAACTTTTATGGAAGGTTCAGATGATTAAAGCCAGGCTTCCAAAGGTGGGACACAGGCTCTTCCTTCTTGGGCCCACGAGTGCGTGTTTCTTAGGGCGTCGCCAGACCTACAAGCTCCTGGAGGACAGGCTTCTCGTCCAAAGTTTGGAGACGCTGTAGGTCAAGAACAGTGCGGTTGGATCTGTTTACCAACTTTGTTCATAGAGGCTGAGCGGCGTAACACCTATGCAAACCAATATTACCCTTCTGCGTATTTAACAAAAATAAATACACCGAAAACAGCGCGTTAACTCTAAGAGGAAATACTGACATCGTAGGTTAGAAAGACAGATGCAAATGGTCATGTGAACACTTGTTAAACCTACAAAGGGAGCAAAAAGTGTGCCCTTTAAAAGCCAAATCTCAGAACAGCCGTTCCATATATTAATACAGCTAACATACCCAATCTGCATGACTTCCGCAAGTATTTCTTCAGCACCCATGTGCCAGTTCTCAGCATTTATTCTTACGACGATGTATCTCTTGTTGTTATGTGATTTTAAGATGTTACTCATTTACTTTAAAGTCCAGCGCATAATAATAAATGCCCCCCCCAGTCTCACAGTATGAACATGGTTTAAAAAAAGAAAAGGCTTACTTTTTCATGGATATCGTTTCAACACTATAAAATACAAAAAAAAAAGAAGAAGATACAATTATTATTTTTTTAATTACCATCCTAGCTCAACAGCTGCATCCCCTCACATTTTCACCCTAATACGACGCTGACAGAACCAGTTCAGGAGAAATACAGGTTGAGGAGGAGAGTGACATAAACACGGAGCGTGCAGCAGGGCGGGGGGTGGGCCGCGGGGTGACAGCGCAAATGAGCCAAAGCAGTTATAAGGTCAAGTGCCGAGTCTCCGCGACAGAACTGCAAATAAGAAATAAGAAGGCTGGTTAGGAAGCTGAGATTAGGCAAGAGGGGAAAATAGTTGAAACAAGCCTGGGAAAATGGGTACAAAGAAAATGTCTGAACAGACACGACTCAGTAGTTTTACCCCCCCCCCCC